GGGGGATTGAACCGCGGTCCCTGATGCTTTACTAAGCTTGTTCTAAATAGGTGCTTTAGACCACTGAGCCATCTCTCCAGCCCACATTTTTCTTTTTTGCAGTGCTGTAATCACACCCAGTGACTTGGCCATGTTAGGCCAGTGCTCTGCCACTGCCATTTATCCCTAGCCCCCATTTTTTAAGAAATATAAACATAATGTACATTAACTTGTCAATCTTTCTACTTGGGCAGGGCCTTTGCTTTTAGAATAAGTCTGCTGATTGGAACCCTGTATTTCTGGCAGAAACCAAAAAACATAATGATTTCTCTTTACCAACTTTATTTTCATTTACTTTGAAGTGCTTAGAAGACCTAATGATGCAATCTAATTGCAGTCTTTTGTTATCATTTAGCCTACAAAATTTGTGAACAATTTTGGGTGTGATTTGCCTGAGTCTTACTTAAGTACATCCAGTTAGTTTTCATAGAAACAATTCTCTTTTGACTATTTTATTAGTTTGCAGAATAAATTATATAATTAGGGTAATAAATATGACTGATACAGTACAGTTTGGGAACATTTGTGACTAATGCCTACTACTCAACTGGAAAATCAAACTGCCAAGATATTAGAGAAGCTTTGTAACTAAATTATTCAGTATTCCTGCTCAGAGTAGGATGAGAAGAGTATGGAGTTTTCCTGACTTACTGCCTTGTGAGCCCAAAACACAAAGCAATTTAGATGGCTTTAGCATTCCTAAATTAGGGTTACAAATTCAGTTCCATAGATGTGGTGAAGTAGTAAATGCTTGACTGTCTATAAAGAAAGCTCCAGCTGAGTACAGTGGCATATGCCTCCTGTCCCAGCTGTTCAGGCAGCTCAGGCAGGAGGATTGTTGGAGCTCAGGCTGGGCAACAGAGAAGGACCCTGTCTGACATAATAGGGAAAAAACAAAGAATGTTCCTAGAACTCAAGCTGCAGCCTTGGTCGATAATGAAGAATGCAGACTTGGGGAGATAGCTCAGCGGCGTAAGCGCCTGCCTGGCAAGTGCAAGACCCTGAGTTTGATCCACAGTACCAAAAAAAAAAAAAAAAAAAAGAATGCAGACTTTTCTTTTTTTTCCAAGGCGAGAATAAAATGCTAAGATTGTGGGTTTTGTGTTTTTTTAAAAAGTGGAGGGTCATTGGGGGTGGGTATAGAAAGGAATGGAGGGTACAGATCCACAGCGTTGGCGTGGGGTGGGTAAGCACTAAAGCTGAGTGGTGGGTACGTGGATGTTCATTACTCTCTTACCGTCCTTGTGTTGCTGAGCATTCTCATAGAAAGGTAAAAGAAGCTGGAATTCTATATGAAATCCTAATGACGGTAACTAATTCAAGTTAAATCTGCTGGAGACCAAAAAAAATCCCAAGTTTTCAGAACCTAAGTTTTTAACTTTGGGTTTATATCAGTTTTTGGTGAGAAATGCTTGAATTTATGGTACATTAGGGTCAGACTTTTATGTGGAATTTAGAAGTTTAGTAGTATTCTGTGTTCCTGTTGACATTGACCTTTACAAAATTCTGTACTTGTTGGATTTTGTGTCTTTGCATATACTTGTGTTTCATTTTCTTATGAGGCTATATTCAACTTTGAATATAGTTTTCTCTTAAGCCATTTGCAAAAGACCTCTAGTCAAAATTAGTTAAAAATTAATTAGGCAAAATTTAGTATTTATAAGGAATTTATATCACATGAAAATTATCAAGAATAGTAATATAATGAATATCCATGAGTTCACCACCCAGCTGAGGAAGCAGAACGTTGTCTCTTCCATTTTGAAGCTGCCTGTGGTGTTCTCCCACCCTTCTGCTTGCATTCTTCTGTATGGCTCACTTATTTAGGTTGGTTTATTGATGGGACACTTATTAATAGTATCGAAAATGCATTAGAAAAATACAATTTTGTATGTGCTAATTGTTATAAATCACATGATTGCCTATTATTTTTCTTGACTTGAGCTAAGTATGGTTACTGACAGGTTCTCAGCATGGGCCTCCTGCTCACCTTCCCTACAGCTCCGAACAAACGCTTAGTGGTAAGATTGTCCTCCGTGCCTGTGTACATTCATGCAGTAGTAGGTCCTGGTTATATGGTGGATGTAACTGGGTAAAAGAGCTGACTGGATAACATGTGACTTAGTTATGAATTTCCCCAAGGGAGAAAAAAGATCAGTTTAGGGAACTAGTGTCCCTGGTTATTTCTCAAGAAGTCTTAATTATAGTTTCCCCTTTACTATCATTGAGATCATGGTTCCCACTTGGTTCTTGTGTTGACTTTTCATTTTTTGTTTGAGAATGTCTGAGTAATTTACAAATGTGATTAATTTGTTGCATTTCTTCTGTCAAGTATGTCTTTTTTTCCAGCATTTTGCAGGGGGGTGCTTTTGTTTTTGTTTGAATTCCCATCACGATCGATAGCCTTAGTGGAATTTTCTCACTCCTTTTATCCTTTCTCTTTGTTTTGTCCTGCAGCTCCTGGAATGAGACCACCCATGGGAGGCCACATGCCAATGATGCCTGGGCCTCCAATGATGCGACCGCCGGCTCGGCCCATGATGGTGCCCACTCGGCCAGGAATGACTCGACCAGACAGATAAAGTGGAGGGGCAGCCTCTCTGTATCAGTTTTATATTATTTGTTCTGCTTCACCAGGGGTCATGGT